TGAAGAACGCCGCCTAGCGTAGCTTTAAACCCCAAGTAGGAAGGTGAGAGTCCTATGACAAAGGGTTTGGGTGTGGTTCACTGGGACAGGCAGCGGCTTTCGCGTTTCGCAGCGCGAAACACTGTTCGTTGCAGGAATCTCAGGTCCACTGATGATCACCGGTGAACCCGAGGTTCCTGCAGCGAAAAATGTTTCGCGCTGCGAAACGCGAAAGCCGCTTTCTGTCCCAGTGAACCACACCCAAACCCTTTGTCATAGGACTCTCACCTTCCTACTTGGGGTTTAAAGCTACGCTAGGCGGCGTTCTTTAATCGTCTGGTGAGTACGGCGAAAGGTGCTGTGGTTGCTGAGCAGGACCTCCGCAGCACTCCGCCCCAGCAGCGTTACGCCCACAAGTTGACTTGTTGATTTGGACGAGCTGCAGCAGCGGCGCAAATGGAGTATCTCGATTAAAGCGTACTTTGGCATGGTGCCATCAAATTCGTTGCGGTGAACTCGTTCATACGTCCTCTTTCTTAGCTGTTACCTGTTCATGAGTGAAACCAACGGCCAAAAAAGGGGTCCCGTTTTGCGTTTTCTTGACGGATTTTTCTGCTTTTTTTTGCTGCTGGGGTACCATTGAACACCACGTCACACTAAACCCTTCTTGAATTTATCGTAACCGGTACCTTTAACCGTTGTAGAGGGAGGGACTCTGGGTGGGTCAGCCAACTACAGTGTGGCAAGTTCGAGTTGTGAGATAACAGGTGAAAAGCTGCTGATAAGCCGAGAAAGCGCAGACGAAAGCGGATTGTTTTCGGCAGCAGAGTATAGCTCCTAGTGCTTACTCTTAGCACGACTTTACATACTAGACGAAATCCTCGATTCCATTACGGTATCACGTGAGCTTCGAGATGTTTTGATTCGATGCCACGCCAATGCACATCAATTTCTTTTGCAGTTACAGTGCACCTGGGTACAGAAGACGAAGTTCGTCTCTCTGCCCAGGGGCACTGTAACTGCAGAAGAAATTGATGTGAAGAAGAGTCGACAGCATCTTAAAGCACAGGGATACCATATTCATCGAGAAATTCCTCAAGTTTGCCACGTCGTGCACCTCGTTGTTGGAGACAGGTAAATATTTATTGACCATGCGAACGCACGATCGCACGATCGAATGACTCGGACGGTCGGTCCAAAAACACGACGGCAAATGAAACTGTGGCGTGCGGGGTGCTTAAACCCGGTTCTTAGGCCAGCAACATAAATGGGTGGAGCAATATTTCTCGGGGTATTTGGGGTAGGGGGCATTAAGTATGCCAATTATCAGATAGAAGGAAATCCAGTTAGGAGAACTAAGCATTATCAAAACGCAGCATGTCTGCACCTCTCCCGAACAATACTGCACATGGGAACCTTTGTTTCTGATTACAAGAAACATAGTGAAAAGATTATCGAAGTGGTATGAAGTATCGACAGATTTGAAGAACATTTCTCACGCTAGTCATATAATATTTAGTCAACATGCTATACTCACAGAAACTCACCGTGGTCTTCTTTTACAGGAACGTAATCGGCTTGCCAAACAAGGCGACTGCTGCGTTTCCCGATATCACATTCCCCGCCCACCTCAACACCAGAGATCACGGGGCAAGGAGTGCCCACGGTTGTTTGCTCTCCGTCACTGACGGTGTGTCCCTGCGCTAATTCGCGCTTGTCAAAATAAAAAGAAAAACGGTGCTATACATTAGGGTAGGCAAACCGCATTTTTTTGTACAGGAATGTATGTAAGTGAGACTGCTGCCTGAGCGTGCCCACCACACTTGTACTGAACCGAAAAACTATTCACCACGACAGTAGTGGATAGATAATTTGTTTAGGAAGGCGATTTCGAAGAGTAACATAGAGAGAAGGGAATGCATAATCACTTGCAAAAACAACCAAAGGTGCCCCATTCCTTCCCTTCAAGAAATTCGTCACTTCCCATCATCCTAGTCAAACTTATTCAATCCTTATAGTTGGATACTCGAATAACAACAGTCAACGCTATCGCTTCTGCAGTTCTGGAGAAGCTCATGAAGATGTTCAACTCCAAGTGGTTGGAATAACATCCGGACAAATCAATGCCATGCATGCTCAGAACGAGTATCGTACTTCACGCTTAGTTTCATTCAATAAAAATAATTAAGGCAACCGTTTCTTTTACACTAGAAGGTAGGCACTAAGGTTTGGAACGAGGTTAAAACGTGCACTTCTACTAAGGGAAAGCAGCTGTAGATGAGCTTCACTGGGGGAATGAAAAATGCCCACGTGACTTACCCAAGTAAATTTGATAAATATGAGTGGGGGTACAAGGGAGTGATTGAGTCCACGGAATGTATCCTTTAAGCAGTTCTTTCGACAGGTTAGAGAGTAGGCCTGAATGCCCAAGAGGCTCAGATTGTGGCATAAACTATGTCGGTCATTACATTTTCACTATATGGCCTATACGTTTTTTAGCCTGAGTCGCCAACTCTGACCAACACCTAACCATTCTGTGAGGGTGACGTGTCGTTCACTAGGACACTTTTTCGTTGAGGGAATTTCAAGTCCACCGCTGATCATGGGTGGACCTAAGGTTCATATGCAAACAGTTGTGCGAAAAGCGGAAAATTCGCTTTCTGTCCTAGTGAACCATACCCCCCATGCTGTGATTTGTCGAAAGGGCATGGCAGGTACAGCAGCCATGTACATGGTAAAACGTCATCTTGTGAGATAATTAGTGATTAGTTATGTTCATAAGCTGCCAATTGGTCATATTCAACACATACGCAACGATTCGATGTTAATATTATCCTCCTTCTGCTTCCTGGCAATACGACCGATACAAAACAAGCGCAGCCACTACGTTGTTTTTTCGGCCTTACATAGTGAAAACATAGCCATACGCGATGTTCAGGGGTTGATTTGCCAGTAAACAAGGAACTGTTGTGGTGACTGGTTGGTGACTCAACGCTGTCAGCCATTTCGAGAAACATGTCTTCTTCACATCACCACTCGAGCCGAGCTTGTTAGACAGCCAAATGAAATGAGTGTTTATACATGATGATGTCCACAAATAAGTTCTCAAGGACTGAAACAACAAATAACGGTCAAAGAATTTTTAGGCCATGATGACCTATTCATGTCCAGCTGAAATACTCAGATGCAAACTATGCGCGGAATTCTACTGAAAATAGTGAACGTGAGTGAAGCAAACAGTGACTAACATCTAATGGTCGTTTCGTAAAACCGGCGTTTTATAGTCACAACTGGGTGATTTTTCTCGACAACATGTCATGCTACCGCTGGGGCATGCCAGCAGCATTGTTTCCGTTTTTTAAGGCTAGAGTGTAGCCACAATGAACTGTGAGACGCATCAGTCATCGAAGGTAACTTCTAGGGAGATTTCGTAGAATAATAGCAACAGTATTGAAAGCGTGAATTTTGAAGGTTTTAATCTGAATCTTATAGAATTTCCATTTCTGACTCAGCTGAACTGATCTTGGAGAACGATCCTAGTTTGGCTCCCTCTACCTATATGCTCAAATAACAAGGACATGTACCTCATCATCGTTCATCAGTGGAAAATAACACGTAAGAAGTATTTTGGAAAAGCGTCCCACGTCATACTACATTCCTGAGGAGTGAACCGCGAACTTTGCTATCCGCTAGTTATCAGTTGCATAAGCCAGGTCTACCGCAGATTGCGACGTTTCCACGAATGATTCTATCAGCTACGCAAGTCATAAACAATCCGGGCCCTGATAGACAACGGTGATTTCTTTTTCATGACGAAAGGTAATTACATGGATTACCGGGAATCCGACTTGCCCTCACAAATTTCCCCATTTGCTGAAGTCGACTTTGAGCTATCCGTCCAACCCCAGGGAATATGAAAATTGCTCACGCATCCTGTATTCTTTCCTCGCCCGCCGAATGCTTAATCCCGTTTTTACCAAACACGGAGATGTTTTACGCGGTTTTCAAATGCGCGCCACCACAATGTCCCCGTTCCTTGTGATGGCGCCCGACGTACCTTATAAATGCTGACAAATGAG